GTAAAGCAGCATAAAAATGGCCATTACATTCAGCAAAGCTTGTCGGCATTCAGGAGATTTAAAATAACTGGTTCTTTTGTAATATGTTTTGCTAACAGGGAAGAAATCTGTGTATGTTGAGCCGTCTAGGAGGGTTAAAGAACTACTTGAAGAAGAGCTTTACATGCAGAAAGAAGCATGCTATGTTAAACATCCAGTGGCAGGTAATCCTCCTTATGAGCAAATGGCAAGTGGTTGTCAGGGCAAATTGCTTTGAGGAACTGTGGCAAAATTATTATTAAAAAAAACACAAAACCAAAACCAGCCCAGAACATTTATGTAATAGCTGGGGAACATTTGCAAATAGAAACATTGCATCTATTCTTTATTATTCTATTTTTGTTTTTATAATCTGATTATAGAACCATAGAGAACATGGATAATTCCATCTGGTCTGTCAGTTTAATAAAACAGAAACAAATGCCAAGCAGTAGGGAGACTTTGTTACCTGAAAGAAGTGCTGTAGTTGTTAAAATACTTTGTCCCCTTCTGCTCTTCAATACTGAAATTGGTGTGGAAGAGTTGGGGTAAGAATGATAAAGGTAAATAAAGGACAGCAAAACAGTGAAAGCAGTTAGAAAGTCAGTCTGTTTAGGCAGCTTACATGTCATGGAGAGACTCAATTACAGTAGGCAAATGAGGAAATGAAAGTCTAAGAAGGGACAATGTGTTTGGTCTAGTTAAACTATTAGAAGTCCTGAGAACGGGAGGCAAAAATGAGGTAAGATCAGAGTATAAATAATTAATGTTCTTTTAAGAAAAAGAGACCTTAATGCTGGAGTAATTTAACAATGATCACTTAGATTTACCATTTTCAACTGGACTTAAACTGTTACCTCTGGTCCAAGAGGTCCTGGGGTAGGAATGAGCCTGAAGCTGTGACCCACGTAAGGTAAAACTTACATCATGCTGATGGTGTCCCGCAGCAATAAGATCTATTAATCTAATTGTAGAAAATCAATTTTCAGAAGTTTTTAATGCTTAAGGATAGGTCATCTTGTCTTGACTAAAAGGTCTTATTGCCTTTATCAGCCAAACCATCGTATTTTATTAGGTACCTCTCTGTAGAGTCCACAAGGTAAAGCTGGTTATTCCACAGCTTCCTTCATTAGCTTGTTCCAGTGCCTTAGTAATAATACGGATTTGTGTGATTCAGCTTCTTGCTTTTCTTGGAATATATAATAATGCCTTTTTTAGTATCCAGGACTTTCTTCCAGAGAAGAAATATATTTGCTTTTGGCTCTTTATGTACTCTCACCAGTTGTTTTGCCTCCTCTTAAGATGTGAATACCAAATCTGATCGTGGTATTTCAGTATGTGTGACACTAGTAGCCTGTAGAGAGAGAGAATCATCTACTTGTTTTAGAGCTGGCATTAGCACTACCACGATCTGTTTGTGAACTATTACTCCTAAATCCATGGTGCTTTTGCTCCACCGAGTTCCCATTTTGTAGCCCCACATTATCTTCTGTAGAGTAAAGCTATTACTTGGTTATATTAAGCTGCATATTGTTGGAATAAGTCCATTACTGTATATCGTAATTACTACATCCTGCACAAATGTTGTAAGGGCATTTTTGCCTTTGTTTTGAAAACAAAGGAAAAATTTCGGAAAAATTTGATAAAGTCTGGTTTCTTTTATGTAGGGATAAGACCCAAGTTTAAAGTCACTCAGAATGAATTTAAAATAGTTGGATTCACAGACAGAAGTGTACAGAAGTTGGGTGATGTAATGTGTCCTGTCAGATGTAAAGACCATTTGAACCTGTAACTCCGTTACTGTGATTAGGCTCCTTAGGCAATTCCAGCACACACCTGCATGTGAATGACTTGTGTAGGCTCTGTTTATAAGTAAATAGAAAGAAAAAGGCAATACCATGCTCTAGAAGTGCCTGTTCCTTTCCTACTTTTAGATGTTAACTCTGGTCTGCTCAAGCTGTTCGTGTGCCTAATGTACCTAAGAGCTGAATGCTACTATATTTCATGGCATCTATCTGCCAATGGATCAAAACTGTTTGAAATATATCAATGTGATAGTATAGATAGATAGTATAGATAGATAGATAGTATAGATAGATATGTTCATACTATTTCTGGGGAGTCTTCCACTGAAATGGATGTTAAAAAGTCTAAAAGTACTAAAGATAATACCGAATCACTATAGAAAAATATTCATAACAGGAATGTATTATAAGAATGTGTAACAAGCTCAGTATATAAATGGTATTTATAGCATAATGTTATATGCACAGCATAAGAATGCTATGTATAATAAGATCAAATAGATGCTGGTGTACAGATTATTCAGCAAATTCCTTTTCATCTGTATACATCCGGAGAATTAGAGATGCTCCTAAAGTGGCCTGGGCTCAGATAAACAACAGTTGTCAGGTTAGATGGTTGCTTATTTACACAGCTTAGATTATTAGTAAATACATTGTTTTACACGAATTAATGGTTAGTAAATTGTAACATTTCCCCGAAATAAATTAGCTTTTCTGTTTTGTTTTGGTGGTGTTGATTTTGTTCCATGGGGGTTTTGTTGGTTTTCTTTGGGGGTGGATGTTTTTTTTGTTGTTGTTCTCCTATCATTTTATGAGGGCATTTCGTATTCCAATATGACCAGTAAATCATCCTGGATGCACTGATGATATTACTGCTTTTTCTTATAGATCAGCTGCATCCTGCTTCAGTTGGGAGTTTAGTAGTTTTAAGCTGTTCTACAGACAGTAGAGAGCGTCATATACCTTCAGCAATCTGAATTGCTCTCTGAAGATGTCAATCTCTCTGTTATCTATGGAGGAAGATCATAGTGTTCTGCTTAACTGCTGCTCATTACTGTATAGACCAAAGGTTACATTAATTCTAGAACAAGTTGAAGTAATCAGTTATAACATTATTATTTTGACAAATTATTAACAGAGGCTCTGGAAAGAATTTCGAGCATGAAAAAGAATTTCTCCTTTGGAAGCCTGAATCCTGTGCCACAGAACAGAAACAGTTTACTTTTACAGCCTCAATTCTACTCAAGGCATACAGGAATGAAAAGTAAGAGTCAATAATAACAAATTTTCACTATAACGCCTTAATTTAAAATTGCAGGGTAATGTTACTTTATAATTCATAGACATCTCACAGGACTGCAGTTGTATGGTCTTATAGTAATCACCTCTGGGCACCTTTCTGCAGAGCTAACCTACCTCTTCCTTTAGTAAGTAGCTAACAGTCTTGAAATCTTTGCTTAAGAAATCTGTTTAGGACTGCTATGTTGAGTCACCTTATTTCACATTCTGAAACCTTTTGTACATGTGTAGAAAAATTACTTGTTTCCTACCAGTAGGTGGTGAGTGTTGGTTTCGTGTACATAATGAACCTTACTCACCTTTCCTAATGTCCAACCTTAATAGATGCAAATGTTTGGAAAAGCTCTTCTCCAACACACCTACTGAAAAGAGGTTGTTCTAGGTAACATTTCAGGCATTCTAACATTTGCCTGCAATGGGCTGCTGGTGCTCTGGAGCATCTGTTTCTTTCTTTACAGTCTATGCAGTGTGGCTTTTGTGGAGCAGTCCTGTTCCTTATGAGCTGGCAGATTTTAGCATAGTCTTGGTGTGCCCACCTTCTCTTTTAGTAGGATGTATTGACTTTGTAGTGGAAGGTGAAAGCTTCCAGTGCTAAGGAAACAGAGCTCATTAGCTTTGTAAGAGGAATATCATTAGTGCCATGAGTTTGCAGAATATATGAATCAGCATGTTTTTCCATTAAATTAAGCTTCTTCCCATGTTCTCGGGGGCTAGTTGTTTAAACATGAGTAGCACCTCTTTCTCCCTCCCTTGGTCTTGTGAGCTCTGGGGATAGTGGCATCTTAGTTACAACAGCAGCATGAATTAAGTTACTGCTAGTAAAAGAAGTGTTTAACCAGCACAGCCTTCGCCATGCTGCCTTTACTGTAGAGTTACTATTTGCGGGAATATTTTGGTTATAGAGCAGGCTTAATCAGTGCCAGGTATGAACTGCAGGCACTTCTGGTATGTGCTTAAACCAAGAAAATTTTAGCCACACCACAGAAAACAGAAGCAAAGAATGTCTCAGAGTTGTGAGATGTTGGCATAATTTTAAAACTTATGTACCCGAGACTTCTGGTGAAGGCACATGGAGTTTTCAAAGGTCCTGATCTCCTGATCATGGAATTTTGTTAAATTCCATGGAGAAAAAACAGCTTTAAACAAAAGCAGTTTATTCAAATTGACTTAGGTGCTGAAATGTATGGGAACTGTTAGTTTTCCTTTGTCAATTTAAATATCCCTTCATTCCCAGCAACGGCTGCTAGAGACAAGTGGTGCTCTTCTCACTGCTGGACTGCCTGTTTTGCAGTGGAATAGGCAGGTATCATGAGAGAAGGGGTGGCAGAAAAGATACAAGACAGGAGAAAATCAGGGAGCAATCTGGCTCCTGTACTCACCAAACCATTTCCATTCACATCCCCTCTTCTGTGTGAGGAATGAGATGGTAAGATACTAACTGGCAGATGGAGCAGGTATAGGCTATATAAATGGACAAAAAAAGTGGTTTCTAGAGAGATGAGTCTACTAACTACTGCAGTGGTTAGTGCCAGAAGGAAAGGCACCAAAAACATGAAAAGGAAGAAGCACAAACAGACACAGGGAATGAAAGAGGAGACATAGAATAGCAGGTTAGGAATTCCTGAATGCAACTGGAGAGAGGAGAACACAGTTCAGCAACACAGAGATAGAAACTGTAAGAAATGAAGGGAAAAGATGTAGGAGAAATAAGAAGAAGAGCAAAAGAGAAAAAAAAATATATATTTACTGAATTTACTGAAGTTAATGCGTTGAGTTTTGCTTCTCCCTTTTACTGCCTTTCCTTAAAAGTGACTAGTGGCTGGGGGGCTCACTGTGTGTTGTCTCATCCATCCTTAGAGCAGATCTTGTTTTTTTACAGATTGCTGAAGTTTAGTGTTGTGAAGACCTGAGCCTGCGTGTCCAATCAAACATCAAAATGACTTGCTGCCTTTGGAAGTGTAGATCTCTATTTTGATCTCTTCTCTTTGTTTTATTCCTATCTTCACACTGTTTTAATCTGATGTTGTAGTGGCTAAATGTCATCCATATTTCAGCCAGTGATGAAGATGTCATGACAAAACGTTCTTACTGCTGTAAAACTCAACATTTTCGTAGGCTTCTCTGTTGAAAAGTGATTGTAAGTTCCAGCAGAAGATTGTAATGTCATTGAAAAGATGCCTTAAGATGCCTTGGTCTGAGTCCATGCATTAAACTGAGCAGTTTGGAAGCCAAGAGTTTGTGATGTGGTGTCTAGCTTTTTTTAATACAAGTTTTAACATAAATAAACCTCTCTATATGTGTCTTTGTATGTAAGAGTTACCATAGTGTTGAAGAACCACAGAGGCAGCATGGGACCTGAAATAACCCATCACTTAACTCTCACTCTTAATCATTACTATAGTGGACTAATACCAAATTATCATTAGTTCGGTTTGTTTTATCGTACCACAGAGGAAACAGATGTGGGTCCTCCTGGGTACTGCATAAAACCAGAACTAAAGACAGCTTTTAAAGGTTGTGGATGACTAGAGGAGGTATTGGAGACGGAACTGATGGACAGCGGCAGAGCAGTT